TGGACTACAAGGTAAGGTTAAGACTGCAATTCAGGCCAAATAATAAAAACCACCATGGCTTAACCCAGTCTCTGATGCATTAAGTTATATTGAGTAGTTCTACACTCCCGTGCTAGCCTAGGATGCTAGTCTGTCTATTTCACAGAACTACACAATTAAAGACAATCATACCTACAGGGGAAAGGTTTGACAACGATGGGATGGGATGGGATGTAAGTCTGTTACAGGGTTGGCACCCAGTGTTCAATTTACCCAGTACCCATTTGTACACCTACAACAGGTAGAGAGAGGTAGTGTAAGACTAAATGTAGAGTGAAGTGTCTTGCCCAAGAACACAGTGCAGAGACCCTAACTGTCGGCCCAAAACCGGACTTCCTGGCCTGCAGTCCAGTTGACTATTCTGTCCTTCCTTCCACAAAAGAATAGTAACCCAGGCATTGCAGTTTCACATAATTATTTGTTTGTGCACCCTTCCCCTGGAGGACTGAGGTATAGTAGGGCCACATAACAGCTTTTGAAATAGCTGAACAGTGAAACAGTAACATCTCTATTTGTTTAAAATTTTCCACCTGCATTGTGCACCATCATGAATAGTAAATAAACCAAACACAAGGAAGTTGTGACTCACTTAATATGGAATCCAATGCCTCAACGTAATTCTTTCTCCTCTCAAGTCTCAGCACATCTTTCATTGTTGCTCCTGTTTTGTACTGTAGATGTCAATTGTTAAGTATAGTCAATAGACTCTCTGTGATGCCATTTTGCAAAGTCCATTAGCAAAGAAAACATACCAAGCATCACAGGATACTGGCACAAGCAAACATGGTTTTTGTTCAATGATTGCAAGGGCTGAAGTCCAAACAAAACCGATATTTACAACTTTAACTATGGCATGAAGTGATGTGTGCTTTAACATTTATGCCAATAAATATCTTTTTAACCCATTGACGCCCGTGCTGGCTGTAACCGGCTGCGATGAGCATTAGCCTTTGTTCCACTTCTGATGTAATCACCTTTGACCAAAATTGGCATAATTTATACTCAAGTTCTGCAGGAGGAAAAGATCATTCCAATGATACCCAGATCAGAGTGATTGGGTCAATGGAGCCTGAAATATGCACAAAAATGCTCAGATATTTGAGTAAAAAACTCTGAGGAAAATTTTCTTCCACTACACTTGGCTACTCCATGGTAAGAATTGCCCGCCTTGATAATGCTTTCTCAGAGATTTTGGACTGGAAGCAAGTTCAGTAGAAGGTCAATCACTGCAGCAAAAAGATAAGAAAAGGAGAAAAAGGCAAAAATTACAAAAAATAAAAAAATAAAAAAAACCCCCTGAAAATCCTAAAGACATAGGTGATTTTTCATCCAAAAAATATTGATTTCTGTGCATGCCTGAGCAAAAATGTCATAAAAGGTGATGCCAGTGGAAAGAAAGGCATGCTATCATGTTGCAACTGCCTTTCCCAGTAGATTGCAGCCAATTTGGTTCATATCCAGGCTGAAATGTCCAAAATGTCAACAACAACAAAATGTGTTTTTGGCAAAAAGCTCCGGGAGTCAATGGGTTAATATGATAATATATTTTTAATTGTATATGGACCTGAGTAAGCCCACAGAAACATGGACCCTATCTTTATCCACTATATTTTAGTCCCAACAACGACAGACAGCCTGTCACTCAGAAAAAAAATACCTATGTGTGATATTTTAGGTAAGAAACTCTGTTTATTTTATTTTATTTAAAGCAAGCTATTCTTTTGTGGTTAACTTTGTTTTGAAGATGAAACTGGTTATAGTTTTAAAGGCTGTCATCATTTACCTACCAATAATTGTTTCCATGTTGATATCATCATGTCTTGTCTTGAAAATCTGGACTCCTTTTAGTCTGCTTTGTTTCATTCTGTGGGAGCAAACAATGTACATAAACATTTCAGGGCTCGAATTTCAGGAAAAAACCTCAGGGCCAGCTGGCCCCCTAAGTTTTCAGATTTGGTCGCCAGCACAAGTATTTTAGTCGCCAAAAATTTTCGAACCTCTATGTACGGATTTTTTTCGAACCTTATGTATTTCCACAAGATAGACACTAAAACAGCCCTAATCACACTTTTTTTTATGTATAATCAGTTTGCCACATTTTTCTAAAATAACAGGGAAAATGACTAAATAACATTCTTTTATTCCTTTATCGAAAAAAGGCTTCAATATTGCAAGCTTTGATTCAAAATTTTTCGTAAACTGTTGCTAAAGAAAGTAAACACATTTAACATTCATGCGCAGGCTTTTCATGTTCATTGATGCAGAGCGACTGCACAAGCTTAGTCTCCAGGGAAAAAAAAATTGGTCACATTGGCGACCCCAGCAGTCCCAACGTCAAGCTCTGCATGTATGAGGCGACCCTTAAAGTAACTGCAAATACATTTATTCTACATTATAATTTGATTGTAGCTATCAGAGCTATAACAAAATTCATCATTTATCATGCAGTCACTTGGGTGTTCAGTTACAGGTATCTAGTCACAACTAAATTTTGCTATTAGATACCTGTAATTGGATACCCACCCCAACACATCACATAATATCACTTACTTGCACTTTACTGGCTTTCTGCTTACAGTGCGACTACTCAAACCAGACCACCTAGAATAAAACTGACAATCAAAACATAAACTAAGAACAGTGGACTGATAGCTTTCTACAGTTGGCAAGTAATAAGAGTCAGTTTGCCATTCATTGCCATTAAGTTCTGAGTTAACTGCAGCTTTGAACTTAACACCTGTAACAAACTTGTTACCTTTTAGGTGAATTGTATCAACTATAGTCCAGTGCACCTGCGACATCAAGTGTCCATCAAACATACTCAGCCGCGGCAGGTGTTATAGGTTACGGCCCTTAATGAAAGCCCTGGCCATGAGCATGTAAGTACTATCAACTCCTCCGCATTATATACACTCTTAGATATTCAGTACTTCATGGCAAATTATCATAATTATAAATCTTGCTTAAAACATTTAACTTGAAAACTCATTTTGTGGCAACTAAACCGAAACCGTTGAAAAGCGCACAAAATTTAGGATCAAAAGTAACCAAGCAGCAAATGGCAAAGTTGCCTGAGAGGTCTGCAACACTTGTTTAGGGTTCTAATTTTGTTGAGATCTATTGTTTGTATTCTTCAATGTTACTGATTTATTTGAGAAAAAGATCACTATTCTTTGTTCTCAACTAATGTTCTGATTGGTTACTTCTTTTCTAAGTGGCCCGATTTGAGTAGTCATACTTTACATAATAATTTCTACAGTGTTAAAAACTTATGGAAAAAAGAAAGATTTTTTTTGCTCAAAAGAATTTCCCTAATGACTCTTTTTTACTTGAAATTGGTTATTGATGGGATCATTAGTAATTGGCCTTGTTCTGCAGCTTGTTTGATTCAAAATTACTCACCTGATTACACCCTGAATTGTGCTTCATCAAGTCCAATTACATATGGGTTATTGACCAAGTGTGAGGTCAAGGTAACTGGATATGCCAAGTTCTTTCTTTGCATGTTCATGGACCAAAATGGAGTCAAGGTCCATAAACACAAAATGAACAAGGCCAATACTCAGCCATCTTGATTGAACAAGCTGTTGGTAAACATGGGAATCATTATTTGGGAAAAAGAACAATTTTCTGTTGTGAGTGGCAAGATAGTGCCATCTTGCCTGCTGGGATAGCCAATCACAGTGCAGGATTTGGTTACCGTAACCACTGGTGGATAAGCTGCACTCGCAAATAAGCCACATTCTGAGTTTGGCAACTCAAATTTGGGTAAAAAAAATTTGGAAAGAAATCAAAATAATTCACAAGTGAAGTCTTGAGAAACATTCTTTTCATGTACTTTTCTTGATTTACATGTAATGAATGTAAACCGGTGTAAACTCAATAACACTGAGTACAGAGAATGCTTCAAACTAAAACCCTTACCTAAAATTTTAGTTCTACAATAGCACTGACATGATGTCTACCAGTTTTGACATATGTTTCATTTTTCTCCAGTATTTTTCAACTGGGATTCTTTTTTCATTCCTGTCAATTTTTCAATAGAATTAACATACAACAACAACAACACTTCCATTCATTCGTTTGGTCATTCATAACACAGTAGCCAGGCATTTCATCAGGAGATGGAGTACTGGACACAAATAGCCTTTGAAGCTTTCTTTGAGCAGCTTTGTGGCGGAATGGAGATTCCCTGCTGTGCGATGTAAGTTTCTAAAGCTGCTCTAGAATGAGCTAGAATTGCGGCTTTACACTGGCTAAAAGATTTTTTAACAAAGGTTTAGGGCTGTTTAACAGCAAGAAATGTAAGCTTGTGATTATGAACAAAAACAATTCTTTTAGGAGCCATCAAACTTGTAATAGCAATGATTGATGCATACTCTGATATTGTTTGTCTACTGAAGTTCTTACTAATTTTCTTAACTGACTTATAAATTTTTGATAGAAAGTGTTAATTTATGCAAATTTATGGCATGTTGTCCAGAGGTTCTTGCAGATAAGCCGCATGCCCAATTTTTAAGGTAAATTTTGAGTAAAAAGGTGCGGCTTATCCAGCGGTGTTAACAGTAATCTTGTCTGGCCAAGGAGCTAGCCATATAATAATATTATCACTGGACTTGCATTCAGGGATATGTAATAATTTGATGACATCAACAATTGACAGGGAGTTTCATTAAGGGCCAGGCACCAAGGCAGATTGACAGTCTGGTTTGGCCATCTGGGATAGAGTTTTTCTTACAGAGAAACACAGTTCAAAACGTTTTGTACACCTGTGGAAACCAGTCACCCTCCTGCTGAAAATGTTAATGAGCCCTAGAATTTAGCTTCCAACTGGGTTCAAAAATATGCACAGCTATTTGCTCTTGGACACTATTTGTTATGAAGACCAGAGTGGTAGAGTGGTAGAGTGGTTTTCAATTGAGTGTCGTAAAACTAAAACCAAACCAATTACTTCTAAACCAATTAAACTAGCAGCCCAATCTCAAACCGTAGTTAAACCAAAACCAAAACCAGAGTAATTGCCTGATTACTTTCGACACTCGATTCCACGTACTGAAAACGTGGCATAGAAGCCCTTGTGAAAAGTTATGTTATTGCCATGTGTTCAAATTCACCTTTTAAAAACATTTTCTTCCACTTGCATGAAATAAGTTTTACTTATTATAATATAACGACAAGCCACAGAATTGCAAATAAAAACAGAACAACGCCAAAATGTCTTACCTTGGAAGACAACCCCGCCATATTTTCGAACACATCATGCTTCAGGACATGTGATCTTAGATTGTGCCTTCAGTGTATGATGGGATACTCAAGCGGATTCGACATCAACATCATGGATTGCTTGAGGTACAGCCGTACTTTTTAGACAGATTTAAATGATTGGCATATTTCTAGTTTATCTTATATCAACGATAGCCATAGAATCAAAACTGGCTGAATGCGGTCTTTTAAAATGGATATGTTCAAAGTGAGGAAAGTCAAGAAATACTCTTTTAATAATACATGGAACAATTCAATGTTACCCGAAAACAGGCGTAATAGCTTATGACTGTTTTTGTCATTTCCCTATTGGTTAGCTCTCCACTGATAATAGTGGTAAACTGGTAAAGGTAGAATTTCAGTTTGGTCGGCCTGTTAAGAGACGGGAAACGGGATATCTTCCGCAAATGATCCTCAGATTCACATGACAACAACGTGTAACACCGTGTAACACCGTGTAACACCTTGTAACACCTTGTAACACCATGTAACACCTTGTAACACCTTGTAACACCTTGTAACTCCTTGTAACACCTTGTAACACCGTGTAACACCGTGTAACACCGTGTAACACTGTCACACAAATGTCCTCGAAATCGTGCATGGTATACGCATATTGTACCGTAAATGATCCCAGGGCCGGAAGTACTCCCCACATTGTACCACACTAGTTGTCTGTGTACTGTCTATTTCCGGATCTGGCTCAGATGTACCTCCTTCAGTAGCTGAAGCCTTTAAAAGCAGATTGTACCCTGCCAACGTGCACCCCTGAAGCTGAACGCTGAGAGGATGAATTTTTCTCTAGTCTCTCGACATCCACCTCTCAGAATTCAAAAGACCACGACGGTGATGAGGATATGGTGTCGAAGGAGTCCCGCTGAAAGACGATACGATATAAATGCTAGCCTGTTCCAGGCTCTCGGTCAGTGGGAACGATCGAAAAAGCGGGCGCGGGACGAGCGGGGTCAGACCCCGCTCGTCGCTCGTCGCTCGTCGCCCGGCCGCATTTTTGATCGTTCCCATTGAGCGAGAGCCTGGAACAGGCTGTATAAATGCTGGAAGACGTGACTGAAAATCTCACCAGTGAAAACCTAACAGAAACGGCAAATGACCTTTGAAAGTTTCTGTCTGATATTCAGTTCACCTGCCTGAGTCACAAACTAAAAGCGTCATGAAGTAAGGTCAAGGGCTTTTTCAAATGATTTCATTGCCGTGTTTCAAATGGAATTTTAGTCCGAGACTCTAAATGGTCGACAGGTTACTATAGGATGAACTTGTTACAGTTACAGTTAAAATATGAAGCAAGAAATAAAATTGAAATCTTAATTTTAAATTAATTGAATCTCGATCCTGGTATAGGCCATAGGCAACGCACTTTTCTTTTATGTTGGGTTGAAAACCAGGCACTTGAAGGGAAAAAGATGGCGCTTTCCTTTCGATGAAATTTTGGGAAATTTCCAACGACGACCGGGAACAGGGGAATTCGTCCAAAAATTTCGATTTAAAAATACACTCAGACCAACATCCGATTAAAAGTAAAATGTTGTTGTTTACCCAAAATTTACCGGGAATTTCTGTTCCATGTGATTTTCGGTTGAATGGTTTGCATTTCGCAAATTTAACAATTTCCGGATTTTCTGGAAACTTTCCAAGGAAAATTATGTGCCATTTGCTCCAGTTTTAAAAAAGTTCTGTAATTTTGGTGTAATGGAAAGCACTCAGCATTTTCCGGAATTTCAGAAAAAGAGGACAACATCGCGAGCAGCACTTTCCATTCAACCAAAAATTCCAAAACTTTCGAAAAGGGAACAGATGGTTGGTTTTGTGTTAAAGAACGATTTGCAAATAACAAATAACGATTTGCGTTAAAGAAAAACAATGAACAAACTTACTTTCTACGATATCGTATATATTTGTTCATCTGACATACTCCACACATAATCAATACTATTCTAAAAAATGCTTAATTTTAATATTTCTTTACAAATTACACTGGTACTCTTGTAAATATAAAAATATACAATATTTCCAACATCTCTTAACATGTAACTTTTTTGGTCTCCTTTTGCTCACAGTTTTGGAACGGTAAATAAACAAGTATAAATTATACGAGTATAACTACCCAAGTATATATTACACAGTTTATAGATAATAACGTATAAATTACAAGAGTATAACTAAACCAGTGTGATTACACGAGTATAAATTATATGTTTCGCCGTCGTTTAAATAAGAGTTGTCTATTAAAACTTGACAGTCCCCGAGGGCAAGCTGCTGTTACACAGTCTGTAGTACCGTAAATCTCCTACAAACCGGTGAATACTCTGTGTAAAAGATGGCAAGTCCTAACAGGAACAAGAAAAGCACGTCAAATAAACCAAAAGTGATCTACATCCGGGAAATGAGAATCAACCACAACAAGAACCAAAGTGATGTACATCAACTTTCTCTTTACCATCAAAGTTGTCAAGTGTATTAATCACTGAACAGGGTTAGGAGGATATGAACAATTTCTTGTTGAAGTAAAATTCTTACTGGGAATTTATGCCATCCGCCGTCCTCTATCTTTCCCTCCCTTCCCCTCTTTCTCCATCCCTCCTTCCATTTTTCCTTGCCTACAATCAGCGACAAAATTGTTGACCCATTGACCTTTTTAACCCCCTATTTCGTCACTGTGATCCCCTTTTGCCCTCCTAGCTTGTCCTTTCAGCCCCCCTCCCCACAATATTGTGCGGCAATTGCTGTGATCTTGAGGTACAAACATGTAACACCGAATGGGGGAGCGAGGTCTTTTCCACAATTTATTGCGCCATAAAAAGAGTGGTGTTATTGGTGCACTAAAAGTACTATTGAAAGACAATGTGTCAACTAATTATGTCGCCGATTGTAGTTCATAGGTTCTCGATATTTCGCTTCGGTCAATCATTTTCAGGTCACGTGGTTTGAGGCGAAAAATTGGCGCGGCCGTTGGTCTCGGAAACGTGACCGAAATCAATTTACTGTGAAGGCCTGGGAGAAAGTCGTGCAGGAACTAGGAAACCTATTTCCCTCGAGTCAAGTTTTGACGCCATGTTCAAATTCCTCTAAGATCTAAAGTAGGTCTACTTACATTCAACTCTATTTTATCTAGGTCCATAATTTCTCGGGTTGTACTCACCTTGTCAGGGGTGAAGTTCTTTCCTAGCTCAGATTTCTGTGACTCTGTGAGTCCTTCACAGCCTCCAAGAAACCGAGGTAGGAACGCGGAGTAGAACGAGTCAAAATCAACAGCCGCCATATTGTACAGTGTGATGGTGATCTCTTCTTGTAGCAAGTCATGTGATCTGTAGACCAGCGCTTGAAGGAACACATTCACAAATTGAAGTAACATGACGTCTTTAAAGATGAGCTGGCAACAAGAAAGAAAAAACAAAAACAGCGTTAATTTTGTTCGTAATCATTTTCGCTCTGTAGACTTAGGACAACATACATACATACTTTATTCGTCCCAAAAGGGCTTTTCGGAATACAGATAGAACTTTTTTAAAAAAATAATAAATGTACATCAGAGACAAAATGCAAACATGATCGAGCAACATTTTCATCAAATACTTCTGACAAGGTCTATGGCTGACAGCTTTCGAAATAAAATTAGAGAATAAGAAACTGTCAAAACAGGAATGCTGTTAAGTAAGACTAACAGTTTACCAAAGTCAATCCGTCAACTGCTTAAGTGACATTCATTGACAGGTATATTTGCTAGGTTGACTGATTGTTTGTTTGACTGACTGACTGACTGACTAATTGACTGACTGGCTGACTAATTGACTGACTGTCTGACTGACTGATTGACTGACTGTCTGACTGATTGATTAATACTGCTAAGATTACTCAAATAAACGAAGGAAAAGAAGCCTACAACAGTCAATCGGTAAATTGCTTAAGTGACATTGACTGACAGGTTTATTTGCAAGGTTGATTGATTGATTGATTGATTG